CCTCTCTTGGTTCCAAATCTTTGCCTTCAAACCACAAGTGTGTAAATTAGAAGAGTCAAGATTTTGGCTTGTAATACTTTGCATCAATCACATGCGCGGAAGGATTTAAAGAGATACAATCCAAAAATATGGATGTCTCTAAACTCCGGGTTTCAGCAAACCATAACAAATCCATTCTTAATCTAGAACAGTGGTTCTTAACCTGTGGGTCTCTGGGTGTTTTGGTCTACAACTCCCAGAAGTCCCAGCCAGGGATTTCAGCGAGTTAAAAGCCAAAACATCTGGGGGCCCACAGGTTGAGAACCACTGGTCTAGAATAATAGAATCATATAATAATAGAGTTGGAAGGGACCACATGGGCCATCTAGTTCAACTCCCTGCCATGCAGGGAAAGCACAATCAAAGTATCGCCGACAGATGGTCTTTTGTTCTCTGTTTAAAAGCCTCCAAGCATGGAGGCTCCTTCTTTGGAAGCTTTTAAACAGAGGCTGGATGGCCATCTGTCAGGGGTGCTTTGAATGCAATATTCCTGCTTCTTGGCAGGGGGTTGAACTAGATGGCCCATGAGGTCTCTTCCAACTCTTTGATTCTATGGAGCTTCCACCAGACTCTGAGGCAGAGAGTTCCACTGCTGAACAGCTCTCCTTAACGTCAGAAATCATAGAATCATAGAGTTGGAAGAAGCCTCATGGGCCATCCAGTCCAACCCCCTGCCAAGAAGCAGGACAACTGCATTCAAAGCACCCCCAACAGATGGCCATCCAGCCTCTATTTGAAAGCTTCCAAAGAAGGGGCCTCCACCATACTACGGGGCAGAGAGTTCCACTACTGAACAGCTTTTTCACACAGTTAGGAAGTTCTTCCTCATGTTCAGATGGAATCTCCTTTCTTGTAGTTTGAAGCCATTGTTCCATGTCCTAGTCTCCAGCAGAAAACAAGCTTGCTCCCTCCCCCCTATGACTTCCCTTCACACATTTATACATGGCTATCTTGTCTCCTCTCAGCCTTCTCTTCTGCAGGCTAGACATGCCCAGCTCTTTAAGCCACTCCTCATAGGGCTTATTCTCCTGACCCTTGATCATTTTAGTTGCCCTCCTCTGGACACATTCCAGCTTGTCAATATCTCTCTTCAATTGCGGTGCCCAGAACTGGACACAATATTCCAGGTGTTACGGTCAGAATCTACGCACCTGATAACTTTCAAAAGTGGTGCATTACAACCCCTTGTTGCCAAATGTAGTGGATTACAAACCATCCTGGGAGTTTTCGTTCCTTTGCCTTCTCTGCCCAAAGGTGCGGGTGCCTCACTAAACTACAGCTCCCAGGATTCCATAGCACTGAACCATGGCAGTCAATGTTGGGTCAAAATGCATTAATTCGACAGTGTAGATGCACCCATCATCTGAGCCAGGTTGACTTCCTTTCGGTTTAATTTGTCAATAGCAATATTCCAAATCAGTCTTCCTCAATGTGGCATTTCAATGTGTTGGACTATAATACCCATCATCCACAATGACTGCCTGTGGATGGTAAGTGCTGTAGTCTGAAGCATCCAGATGAGGTTGGAGAAGGTAATTAATTATTGGGCAACTACAGAGAGTGCCCAATTGCCAGATTGCCAATATCCGCTGGATAATGGAGAAAGGCAGGGAGTTTCAGAAAAACATCTACTTCTGCTTCATTGACTATTCTAAAGCCTTTGACTGTGTGGACCATAATAAATTGTGGCAAGTTCTTGGTGGGATGGGCATCCCAAGCCACCTTGTCTCTCTCCTGAGGAATCTGTACAAGGACCAAGTGGCAACAGTCAGAACTGACCACGGAACAACAGACTGGTTCAAGATTGGGAAAGGCGTACGGCAAGGCTGCATCCTCTCAACCACCCTTTTCAACTTGTATGCAGAACACATCATGCGAGGATGTGCGGGGCTTGACGAATGCAAAACTGGGGTGAAAATTGCTGGAAGAAACATTAACAACCTCAGATATGCAGATGACACCACTCTGATGGCCGAAAGCGAGGAGGAGCTGAGGAGCCTTCTAATCAAGGTGAAAAAGAAAGCGCAAAAGCTGGGTTGCAGCTAAACATCAAAAAAACCAAGATTATGGCAACAAGAATGCTTGATAACTGGGAAATAGAGGGAGAAAAAGTGGAGGCAGTGACAGACTTTGTATTTCTAGGTGCAAAGATTACTGCAGATGCAGACTGCAGCCAGGAAATCAGGAGACGCTTACTTCTTGGGAGGAGAGCAATGTCCAGTCTCGATAAAATAGTAAAGAGTAGAGACATCAGACTGGCAACAAAGATCCGCCTAGTCAAAGCCATGGTATTCCCTGTAGTCACCTACGGATGTGAGAGCTGGACCTTAGGGAAGGCTGAGCGAAGGAAGAGAGATGCTTTTGAGCTGTGGTCTTGGAGGAAAGTGCTGAGAGTGCCTTGGACTGCGAGAAGATCCAACCAGTCCATCCTCCAGGAAATAAAGCCCGCTGCTCATTGGAGAGAAGGATACTAGAGGCCAAAATGAAGTACTTTGGCCACATCATGAGGAGACAGGAAAGCCTAGAGAAGACAATTATGCTGGGGAAAGTGGAAGGCAAAAGGAAGAGGGGCCGACCAAGGGCAAGATGGATGGATGGCATCCTTGAAGTGACTGGACTGACCTTGAAGGAGCTGGGGGTGGTGACAGCCGACAGGGAGCTCTGGCGTGGGCTGGTCCATGAGGTCACGAAGAGTCGGAGACGACTGAACGAATGAACAACAACAACAACAACAACAACAAACAGAGAGTGCACCTACACAGTAGAATTAATGCAGTTTGACCCCACTTGAACTAACATGGCTAAGTGCCTTATCACAGAAGGCGAAAGACCTAGTAAAACTACAACTCCCACTATTCCATAGCATTGGGCTATGGCAGTTAAAGTGTTGAACTATTGAAGAGTTCATCGTTCACTGGTTTAATTAATATAGGCTTTCTAAGAAACTCTAGGTCATCCTACAACTTCAGTTGGATGTTTACTAAAGAGTTGTGCTGGAGTACCGAGAGATTGCTAGTATTTATTTGTCGTGTCAGGGCAACCAGTGAATTGTATTACATTTCTAACAGAACAAAACAAACAAACAAACAGATAAAACACAAAATTTGCAAGTTTGGTAGTTGATTAGATGTCCATTGACCAGTATCTCGCCACTTGGAGTGCTTCTGGTGTTGCTGCAAGAAGGTCCTCCATTGAGCATATGGCAGGGCTCAGGTTGCATTGCAGCAGGTGGTCAGTGGTTTGCTCTTCTCCACACTCGCATGTTGTGGATTCCACTTTGTGGCCCCATTTCTTGAGGTTGGCTCTGCATCTCATGGTGCCAGAGCGCAGTCTGTTCAGCCCCTTCCAAGTCGCCCAGTCTTCTGTGTGCCCAGGGGGGAGTCTCTCATCTGGTATCAGCCATTGGTTGCGGTTCTGGGTTTGAACCTGCCACTTTTGGACTCTCGCTTGCTGAGGCGTTCCAGTGAGTGTCTCCGTAGATCTTAAAAAACTATTTCTAGATTTAAGTCGTTGACGTGCTGGCGGATACCCAAACAGGGGATGAGCTGGAGATGTCTCTGCCTTGGTCCTTTCACTATTGCCTGCTACTTCCCGGCGGATGTCAGGTGGTGCAATACCGGCTAAGCAGTGTAATTTCTCCAGTGGTGTAGGGCGCAGAAACCCCGTGATAATGCGGCATGTCTCATTAAGAGCCACATACATTGTTTTAGCATGGTGAGATGTGTTCCACACCGGGCATGCGTACTCAGCAGCAGAAGAGCATAGCGCAAGGGCAGATGTCTTCACTGTGTCTGGTTGTGATCCACAAGTTGTGCCAGTCAGCTTTCGTATGATATTGTTTCTAGCACCCACTTTTTGCTTGATGTTCAGGCAGTGCTAGTGAGAATCATAGAATCCTAGGGTTGGAAGAGACCTCGTGGGCCATCCAGTCCAACCCCATTCTGCCAAGAAGCAGGACAATCACTTTCAAAGCATCTCCAACAGATGGCCATCCAGCCCATTTTTAAAAGCCTCCATAGAAGGAGCCTCCACCACACTTCGGCGCAGAGAGTTCCACTGCTGAACAGCTCTCACAGTCAGGAAGTTCTTCCTAATATTCAGGTGGAATCTCCTTTCCTGTAGTTTGAAGCCATTGCTCCATTGTGTCCTAGTCTCCAGGGCAGCAGAAAGGAAGCTTGCTCCCTCCTCCCTATGACTTCCCCTCACATATTGATACATGGCTATCATGTCTCTTCTCAGCCTTCTCTTCTGCAGGCTAAACATGCCCAGCTCTTTTAGAACTCCTCTCTATGAATCTCTAGGTCCAATGTGAAGGTCTGACTGTAAAAAGTTTATTATACATGGCATCTTTACTCTGCTGTACCTGAAGTGGCATTGGATATAACCTCTCCTCTGAAACATCCGGATACTTGGAACAGCCATGTGCACAGAACCACACACATATATATATATAGCAATGAATCAAATTTATGATCAATAGCCTCCGCGACTTGGAAGAGAGAGAGATGTCCTCATGCCACAACAAATAATCAGAGGCATTTCTTCCCTGTTTATTCAACTCTGACTTTGCAGTATATTTTTAGCACATTAAGCCTTGCGCTGGATTTAGAAGGCGAGAGCAGGGATGTGGCATCTGTGGGTATGCTCCAATATGCGTGTATGTGCTGAAGAGAGGGATAGAAGGATATGAACCCAACAACAGATCCCGTAACTGATTTTAGAGCCTTCATTGCTGTGATTTACTCCAAGGCGTAACCTGTTCCTAGAGGGGCTGCTCACAAGTCTTGGGCTGGGGGCGAAAGACCTTCAGGAAAAAGAAATATACCTCTCCCGAGTGAATCATCGTGACAGCGTCTGTCATAGATCTAGAATTACACTTACAGCTGTTGCTCCTTGTGTCGTCCCCCTCCCCTTCCGCAAGAGCCATCCCTCCCTGGTGGGCCAGTTTGTCATATTAAAAGGTGATCGGCTTACACATGCTCCCGAATGGATTCCCTAAGCTTTGTAACGCCGTGGCTATATATATAAAAACCCCTCGCGCTGTGGAAACTGAGCCACACAGCCAGCTGGACAAGCAGCCAGGCTCATATTCTTGGTCAGCGCTCCATCAGGAATCAAGAAAGAGTTCTCCCAGGTTCAAAAGAGCTGGAAGACCGGGTCAACGAAGAAGAACAGACAAGTTTTCAACCATGGCTGTCTCCTTAGAACAAGCGGAAGAGTTACGTCTCTACCAGCAAACACTTCTTCAAGATGGTCTCAAGGACTTGCTGGACCACAACAAGTTCTTGGATTGTGTCCTGAAGGTGAAAGGGAAGGAGTTTCCATGTCACCGCTTGGTCCTGGCAGCTTGCAGTCCTTACTTCAGGGCCATGTTCCTCTCGGATATGGAAGAGAGCAAGAAAAGGGAGATCAGCCTTGAAGATGTGGATCCAGAAGTCATGGGCAAGATCCTCCATTACATCTACACCTCAGAACTGGAGCTCACTGAGCAGAACGTTCAGGATATCTTCTCCGTGGCCAACATGTTCCAGATCCCTTCCATTTTCACCGTCTGTGTCTCTTTCCTTCAGAAGCGGCTCTGCCTCAGCAACTGCTTGGCCATTTTCAGGCTGGGTTTGATGTTGGACTGTGCCCGCTTGGCAGTTGCTGCCCGGGATTTCATCTGTGACCGCTTTGCCTTGATTTCCCGGGATGAGGAATTTTTCCAGCTCTCCCCCGATGAACTCATTGCCATCATCTCCAGTGATTCCCTGAATATCGAGAAGGAAGAGTCCGTCTTTGAGGTAGTGATGAAGTGGGCCACAACCAAAGACCGGGAGAGCCGAGCAAAGGCCCTGCCAGTGGTCTTCGATAGCATCCGTTTCCGCCTCATGGAGAAGGATTACTTCAAGGATCACGTGGAGAAGCACCCTCTGGTCAAGTCCAGTCCAGAACTTCTCAAGAAGTTGCAGATGGTGAAGGACTCCCATGAAGGGAAATTTGCAGTAGTGAAAAGAGTGAAGAAAAAAGGGGAGAAGAAGGCTGGGGACAATGTCATCAATGGAGGAGTAGAGGAAGACGGTGTTGAGAAGGAGGAGGAGGAAGCAGAGGAAGGTCTCCCAGGGATCTTGAATGACACCATGAGGTTTGGGATGTTTCTTCAAGATCTCATTTTCATGGTCAGTGACTCGGGGGCAGTGGCCTATGACCCCTCGGCCAATGAGTGCTTTTACGCCTCACTTTCCGCCCAGATCCCAAAGAACCACGTCAGCCTGGTCACCCGCGAGAACCAGGTCTTCATAGCAGGGGGACTTTACTACAATGAGGACAATAAAGAAGATCCAATGAACTCCTATTTCTTGCAGGTAATGGATAACTCCTCCCAATGTACATATTTCTGCTTTTGAACCAAGAGCTGTATTTGTCTCTTGTTGGAATGGGAAGTCAACCCCAAGTGATTTTAATCTTTATGGCATAGCTTTAGTTTGACTCCCTCTTTCACGTATCATATTGGGAGGGAGGAGATGACTCTGACAAATATCTATATACTGCAAAATTTCCAACATTTCACAAATGAAAACCAAAATGCATACAACTTAGGGCCTTTCCACACAACCCTATATCCCAGAATATCACGGTAGGAAATCCCACAGTGTGGACTCAGATAACCCAGTTCAAAGCAGATATTGTGGGATTTTCTGCCTTGATATTCTGGGATATAGGGCTGTGTGGAAGGGACCCGAGAAATATAAGAATGCAGTCAAGTTGGGAAAACTTTATAATGAGGAAGAATGCATCAATAGTTTGCTTTTGCCAGAGCCTACTGGGAAAGGCAAGATGGTGCCTTATTCTCCCTCTCATCTGAAAACTACATCCATACTTTGAATTCAGGTCCCTCCCACACAGCCATATGTATAATCCACAATATCTGCATTGAACTGAGTTATCTGAGTCCACACTAGCATATAATCCAGTTCAATGTGGATTTGATACATCTGTGTGGAAGGGGCCTCGGTTTGCTGGAGTGGATAAAAGCAAGGAGAAATTGGGAGGAGGAAAGATCCACTGGGACATTTTGGAAAAACAGATGAGAAAATGAGATGACAGGATCAATCAGGGCTGTGCCTCCCAAACTGGGACCAGTTTGATACTGTGATTTACGTGTGAAAAGGGGGACAAATCCCTTCCCAGACTGGAGAAAAGGATTGTCCAGCTCAGCATCCTGATTACAATGAGTGACAGGTGACTCTAGAAACTGATGTGCTCCCAGCATTTGGTGTTTAGAGAGATACTCTGGTTTTGATATCGAGCCCTTTTGGGGGGTTCTCCCAGCGAGGGGAGTCCCTGAGGACCGCGAAAGGGGTCCTATACCTTGGTGAGCGGCCAGCGGATGCCAATTCGAAAAGCGCGAAACCGTTGAAAATCAATCTCACCAGAGGCTGAAGAGGAGATCTGCGACCGAAGCGTTTTATTGTGATTCAGCTGAGATCAGATGCATTACAGGGATATTTCCACCATAAGCATAAGGTACACTGATTTGCAGGCATATTTATACAGAAGAAACAAAGAAATCCTGGTTTGAATCTCCCGCCCGCCTCCTGTCAGTCCCCCCTGCCCTGATTGGCCGGCTCCAGAACAGCTGGGAGGAGGCTTGGCCGCTGGTCCCGCCTCCCCTCCAATCGCCGGCCGCTGTTGCCTCCAGGGGGCCAATGAGCGCTCTCGGAGCGCCTCCGGAGATTGTCCAATCACCGGCCGGGAGGCGGGATGTAGTTTTGACAGCGCAGAGGGGCGGAATGCCTGGGAGGCGTCCGCCAGCTGATTGATGATCTTTTGTTTCTTCACGGCAGGGAGGCAGACGGAGGAAACAAGGGATTTCCTGAGTTCCGATAACAGATGTGTATAGGCATAAAGGAGGGCTATGGGCGGCATTTGGATCTCAACCTTGTGGACAAAAGGGGTCTTTTGTCACAAAGGAGCGTACACAAATACCGTGATTGATTTAATCAGGCCATTTTTCCGGGTTTTCGGCTGACAGATCTTAGACTCTGTTTGTCTGACTCTGAAAACAAAGCCTTAAGATATTGCCAGCCCTGATCCATGCAATGTCAATATGAATGGAGTTTCTTCTAAGGAAATTGGATTCCTTAACTGTAATCCCAGGCCACATACTTTAGTAGGGTAAAGTTCAAGAGGGGAAAAGGCAAGGAAGGAGGGTGAGGGTACATCTCATTTCATTTCACTTCATCATATATCATATGTTTCATATATACATTTTCTTCATAGGCTTTCATAACTCATAGATTTCATAGGAAAGATCCCCATCCCACCCCAGTAAAGTTTATTAGAAAAATACAGCCATTTGATAAAGGCAATCAGCAGAGATCTTGAGGCATGATCCTCTTCAGCAAAGGACACGCACGCACCAAGTCAATCAGAGAAGGCAGAAGGGTCCGCAGAGGAATCTGCAAAAGGGTGGAGAGTGGAGCAATGTCCTTTGGGAAACTGCGTTTTCCAGTCTAGGCCTGGAAGCCACCTGGCCCCCTCCTTGGGGCTGTTGCAGCCGGCCGCCGTGGGGAAGCGAGAAAGAACTCAGCCACTGACAATCAGCTGTTTCTCTGCAAGACAGAAGTTCTCAGAACAAAACTAATTTTTCTCCCGGGAGGAGCAGCCCAAAACAGGGAAGCGGAGATGGCGGATAGGCTTAGAATTAGTTATAGAGTCGAGCAAAATTGGAACGGCGGCGATCCGCCATGTTATGTGTTTTGGTGGATAGCGGGGTTTGCCACGGAGGTTTCCCTATCCGCGTTTTGGCCAAACGCAGGTTCGGGGTCCGGGGGGGCACCTGGAGGCGCCCCCCGCGGGCTCACGGTCCTCCGGAGCCCAGGAAGGGGTTTATGGAAGGGTTCATGGAGTGCTGAGCCAGGAAGCGATACAAAAGTAGCATGCGGGGAGATAGAAAGTTTCAAGTTTCAAGTACTTTACTTGGTGAAGATACAAAGTAAGGAGAGAGAGAGAGTTAGCTGAGGTTGCAGGCACCTCTGGC